AGTTTGTTTGTATTTTTTAATTCAGCACCATTCAGTAAATTTTATTTATTATAAGCAGATATATCTGTACATTGCACTAACTCTAGTATTGATTATAAAGGCCAAGCATAGATGAATTTTCATTTTCAACGTATACTTCTTTAGATATTTTTCATTTTATTTTTTATTTTGAAGCTTCCATGCGACGTGAACGTAAAATGTTCGTGATGGGTTGTTTCGCCATAATCAGTGGTACAAGGGAAAATGAATAATTTATTATGTATTATATAGGGAATTTCATTAGCTTGATTAACTGGCGCAGACTGCGAAATTTAGGACTATGCTCAGACGCCATTTTATTGTCTCTGATGCAGAAAAAATTATTGTAAAAAGGGCAAATTCACTTTAGAATTTGTATGACATATAAAAGAAAGCAAGCAAATAAATTGATCTATCGTTATCCACAACAAAGATGTACGTATTCTTGTATGGGTGATAAATATCTTTCCACTAATCCATCTCCTGTGTAATGCATTTGCATATAAGTTCTCCGCAAGATCTTGGGTGGATAACGTGTAGCTAATAAAAGGGTACATCGATTTCTATTTATTCACGCTCTATGATAAAATTTTGTAAAATGTGGTTGGCCTATGTACATAGTTATTGTGTCACAATGACTTTATGGACATTTGTAACAAATCAGATTATTATATTGTGTCAATTTCTATGTTGCATTATTGTCATCAATGTATTACTCACATTCAACTGTACCGTTATTAACCAATCAATAATACTATTTTGATATGGTGGATTTATTGTAACTCAATACCTGCGTATCTTTAACGCTTAAAATCAACCTACCAAATATTGGACAAAAAAATGAATATACAAATTTTGACTTGAACATAGAAAGGATCTACTGAAACAAAACTTACATCGAATCATATCAGCGTTGTGCATTCAATTAGCTGCATGCAACTTATAATTTCGCTCACAATCCATCTCCTAATAGAGGGAAATTGCAGAAGATATATAGAAGATATATAAGCCTTTCTTTGTGACACAGAAATTGAACTTAATTTTAAAAGCTGAAGTCGGATTCGTACTATGATTGCAACTTGAAATCCATCATGGTGGCCTGATTTTTATACAAGTCTTTGGCTATTTTTAGTCATCAAAACATTTTATGTGTTTCACTTAAACCAGTAACGCTTGTTTTGTGTAAAAATATGAACTCATTTCAAAAGAATTCTGACTTGGGAAAATAGTCATTTTATTTGGTCATAAAATATAGGGTCAGGAGTTGTTTCAATATCGAGAACAGATAAAATTATACGTCTTTATTTAATGCTTTAATTTGACCGTGGCTGCCAGTCTATTTATGATTCCCACAGATTCAGTTTTTGATTTATACATAGCAATGAAATGAATATCAATTGAGCAGTTTGGGTATTGTTGAAGTTGAACTCAGTTCACTGAATTCCCTTTGTATCAAAATGTTATTTATACTTTTGATGATTTGATTTGACTTTGGTTTAAATTGTTTATTATTACCTTATTCTACTTTTACACCGCACCCTATATTTCCTCATTTACACAATACTCGTAAAAGGAAATGCTAATTTCTTATTCTCGTTTTACACGCTTCCTGAGGTTTATTCGATGGTCAGGGGTGTTGTAAATACGATTTAATAATTTATACATCGATGGCTTTCAGCGGTTTCATTTGCAATAGATAGATCATATAACCCTATCAGTGATAACTGATAAAGAAGAAATTAGAGTAAACAATTTAATCAATTGTTATAACATTTCGTTTATGCATTCGACATGAATATATACTGTATTTACTGCAATCTTGACTGTAATAACTGCAGATCTTGCCACTTTGAAGCTACTTTTCAAAGTTTATTGTCAGGGTGGCGATGGATTATTTCGAAGATTGTATTGGTGTTCTTTACGTTTTCAAGATCAATTAGTTTTATGCACCCGAGGAAATGTTCGTGTACTTTTTGTATTCATTATTTATAAATACCTGATTATTTTTCCATTATCAAACCTGCGAACATGACTTGGTAATTATTATCGATTGTATATTTTTTCTGACTAGTCCATCTGTAACTCATACTATGGCCTGTTGTCTCATGCAGAACCGATTGGAGAGGCATAGCATTTCTAACGTGACTTTTCATTTTATCATCGAGATATAAAAGATTCGTATGTATGCCTGCATTGTATTCCTTGCTTATGTTTATAATATTTTACAATTGATAATTTGTACATTTAAATACGATGAACAAGCCATATTCAAAGTTTGTTATGCAACCGTGTCGCCTTGCATGAGGGTTTTAGTATAGGTCGACTCGTCACGAACACATTACCATAAGGCTGTGGAAACTGACTATTACTTCCGACTTTTTGTTCTATAAATGACCGTAGGGTGTGGAAATCAAAATACAAATTAATCAGCTTAAACAAGAGAAAGTTGCAACTGTACGAATCAAATTATATTGAACATATGGGCAGTTGCTCTGAATATAAAGTTTTTTGTGAGTGAAGTTGATTTTCAATATGAAAAATTTCACGGCCGATTGCACTTTTATTGAAGTTTTTTTCAGCACTACCTTACCTTGCTATTTAGTATTGCCATACTAGTTCAAAGAAATAGTAAGCATGACTTATTATGTTCTGTTCCCATCTCATACACCATACACCATATTTAAAAGACACGAGGTATATAAAAAATCAATAACTTTCGCGCATTTTCAAAAAGATCAATTTTGATAATAATCAGTATATACAGCCGCTTTATCAATTTGTAATTGATTGAATCTAGTTATTGGAAAAGATGCCAATGCCATACTTTAAAAAAATTCGTACACCTAACTAATTTGTCGAATAGTGTGTGAACTATTAAACAAGTAAGAACTATAAGTCAGCATCCTTTTAACGACAGTTTGATTGTATTACCAAATTAGTCTGTATTATCGTTTCATATTTAGTTCACCACATTTATTTACTATGCATATTATTCGAGACAAAATATATGAAATATACTCAATTAGATGACAATTTTAAAAGTGATGCTGTTACTGCTATACATCGGCATTCTGGAATCCCGAGCCTGATTGTTAGATACTGCTGTTGCCATATGACGATGCATGATTGAACGAGGGAATATTATGTCGTGGGGTGTAATTGAAATGGAAATCGATATTTTTTGTATGTGCAGAATGAAACTGTATAGACATGCAACGAATGTTGTAGATTACTTTCAGAAAAATATTGGAAATTTTTGAGGATTAGGAGAGTATTATATTATACAACTACTTAATACTTTCAGTTATTTAGATACCGTGAAGTAATAATATCAGTGATTCTTTTGGTTTAAAATGATGAGTATTAGGGTATATTGAGTTTTTTGAGATATTTTATGATTGTGTTCCCTTTATGAATTCGACAAGCAAGGTCTTGTACATGTCGAAAGTGATGTTTTACAAAGAATTGATAGACGGAAAGAGAAATTCGTAATATAATATAAAATTATATTCAATACCTGATCAAGGTCAGGGATATTTAGTTTTTTAGTAGCATCAAACCAAACTAGTGAGCTTCCCATATGGCACCAGTGACAGCTTTTTCTGTCAAAATTTTATCCTAGTCGACTTATCATTCAAATAGGCGTGCGATATGATTGAATGTTTAGTTAGAAAACTCTTGAAATGTCCCGTAACAGCGGTTTATCCTTATTTCTCAAAAAAGATATTTATTGACGGCATCATTTTGGACTCCAAACTCCACGTTTGTACACCTATTGGTAAATTTCAAATGCTGCTACTTACTCTTAAAACCACTTGCAAGACTTGCAATTTGGCCAATTTTTGGAATGCGTTTGAATTGCCTAATTCTGTAGAACAGAATTATTATGAACGCTATTCAATTCAATGTTTCTTTCAACTTTAAATCTCTACGGTACAAGTAAAATGTTGTTGGGATGAACAGGACTTGTCCTTGGAATTGTAATCAGTTCACTGATCGATAAATAATTGCCAGTTTGTTTGGACACAATATGATTAGAAATATCATTCCCTTCGCAACCTTTTTACGTGCCTCTGTCATTATAATTCATATATATTTTTTGCCAAAATTCATTTGATTCCCGGACAATGTTTGGTGACCTTTTAGTCGGAATGTCTATTGAGACAATTTTTGCAGCACTGCTTTAAAGAAAATCTTACATTCAAGAAAAAATGTACTCACCAACAATGTAAATGTATTTATACATATATTGACTTCGAAATTGTGATGTTTTGTTGATTGACAGAGATGTCTTACACTTTTTGACAAGAAGGTTAATGCTTTCATAATGGGTCACGCATATAATGGGATATTGCACGAAGATAAAAGCATGAAATTTGGATCAAGATACGGCTGAATACTTGATTACTCACCATGTCTGTCTTCAAATAGGATATCACAGCGTTTATAAATCCCATAAAAAATTCTTATAAAGCAACGACTGAAAATGAAATATAATCGATCAAATCCATATTCGAAGAATGCGAAAAACCTTAAGCATGTGAGATTATATTCTTCGTCCATGAAATGTGCTTCATGAAATCAGCATTCTACAATAATTAATTTGTTAATTTGAAATGGTAAACTGAATTGAATCCATATATGAAATTAAGTTATATTATTTATGTTGTAAAATAGGTAGGCTACAAGTTAAAAGCGTGGTAATGTGAAGTTTGATTTTAAGAAAATGATCAACTGACTGCTAAATAAAACATTTGTGAAAATAAGGGCAAATTGTATAGATATTGTATTTTTACAATTTCTTCGATATTGAACTTTTTCGATAAAATCGTCATTTTCCATTTTTCGTTCATTATGTTGAAATATGCCAAATTTTAAGCGCTATATTTGACTTTAGCAAACTTTATTGAATTTTCAGTCTTGATATTTATGATTTTCAAACGAATTATTTTAAATACATTTTGCAGCATACTATCAAATAGGTCTACTATAAGTTTCATTGCTAGTTTTTACATTTGAAAAAAAAACAAAAGAATGTCGTGGCATTTCTTAGAGAGATGGATTGAAAAAGCAAATCACCATTCAACATTAGTTGGAAAGTTCTGGATCACTTTTCTAATCGTGTGTCGTATGGTTATTGTTGCTTCAGTAGGTAAGAAAAACACAAAAACATATTGCTTGTATTTAGAATACTTGTTGCATTGCAATGATTTAAATTACTTTGTTTTTGTTTCACTAGGCGATCGTGTGTACAGCGATGAACAAAGCGAATTTAAGTGCAATACGTTACAGCCAGGGTGTACGAATGTTTGTTTTAATAAATTTTCGCCGATATCACATTTAAGGTAAGCGTAATTCATTAGCCTCATTACATTGTTACAAATTTTGTTGAGGATTCATGTTGTTTTAATATAGTATAGATTTGTATATATTGTCGGGCTGATAACAAAATAGAAATGTACATTCAACTGTAATATTAACTTTTTGAATTGCGTAAGATTGTATATTTGTGTACAGTTTTTCATGTCAGCCACGAATATATAAGAATGGTTAACGCGTGCATTTACGCCCAGAAATAATTGTCACCCCACGAACTCCTGTCAAATTGTTTTTTAGAAGCTTGTGCCAAGTAGATAAAAATGAAGCAGTGTGATATGAAAAATTGTTGTGGCTAACTTACTTTATTTATATCTATCACTTAAGCACGGTGGCCACTAAAACTTTAATTAAAACGAGAAAGAAAGCTCAAATATACGGACACGACAGCCAAAACGAGGTAGCATCAAATTTCTTACAGTACGGGTAGTCTAACCACGGGATCGCGGAAATACGGTCACGGAACCACGGCACTATACGCATTTTTTAAATTTTGATGACGTAACAACATAAAAATTTGAAAATATGGACACGGGGGCTAAAACGAAGTAGAACCACGAAATTGCTGAAATATGGTCACGGAACCACGGCACGGTACGCATTTTTTAATTTTGATGACCTCATCACATAAAAATTCGAAGTGAAGAACGAATCCCATAGAGCCCACGGATGATTTTGAAATAAATAAAAATGATAGCGTTCTAGCGACAACAACAAGCTTTAACCACTGGAAATTTTGAAGCATTTTGTACAGTGGTTGAAAGAATATAGTTTCTATCTTTTTTTACAACAGCAATATAATAACAAAACGTCATACGTCCATTTTGTGTCCAATAACAATATATTTCATTAAAAAATCTGAGTACGCAACAGGTATTAAGGACGAATATCTATGCCAATACTGCGAGGTGTCTTTCATTAGTTTTTACTTTATATGAAGCATTGTCTTTTTTAATTATTGCAGATTTTGGAGCTTCCAGATTTTACTTGTTGCTACACCATCAGTTATGTTCATTGTATATTCTGGCCATGATCAAAAGAAGACAAAGCCTGCGGGAAAAGGGAAGAAATCAAAGAAAAAGGCAACACTTCAGGCATTAGCAAAGTTAGTATATCCACCTATAATTATCCTGTAATTTGACTGCAAAATACAAGATTAAAATAAGGTTCAAACTAATTTTCTAAATTTGTTTTATGGTGGTAAAATTACATAGTTAACGCCTATAAGATTACATTAGGCTTGTGGAGACGAAAACAATGCATTTAACCAGTACCTTTTATCGATAAAATACTGAGATTGCGTAATACAGCAAAGGCTGAAATAATCTGCTTGAACCGTCTAATTTAAATTCAGTAAAATTGTCCATCTGAGCTTCTATTTTGATTTTCGTTTTGATAGAAATATATATTGTGTATAATTCTTTTCTAGGCGGCAAGATAAAATGCCAAAAGGCGGTTCTGGCGGAGAAGTTAAAGTAAACTGGAACACAAATGCAAACAACAACAATGCATGTGATAATCGTAACAAGAAATCGTCTGATAAATCACCTGGAAAAGTTTCAACGCGAAGTAGTGGAAGAGATAATAATAACGAAAATGGAAGTGGAGGACGAAATGGCCGCAGCAAAGGATTAAAAGACGGAGATTCGGGCTCAATAACCCAAGCACCTCAAGTATTAGCTACCCTCATAAACTACAAAAATGGTGGTGGAAGGAGTCCAGTAGAAGCAGCCGTAATGGATGATAATAATACCGGCAGAAAGGAGTTGAATGTTCCTTGGCAAGAAATGCGATGGAATAGTTTGATGCACATAACTGAGAATGGGTCCAAAAACAACAAGAATACAATGTCTAGAAATATGTGGAAAAAACCGAAAGATAGAAGTCGGAGTAAAGATAGATCTGAAGATCGTTATAAAAACGCACTAAATGCTGATATAGTTGTTTGGGGTCCGCCTAGTTCTGATGACGATAATCGAAACGGAAAATACAGAAAAGTTAATCAAAGTTCTCTGACTGAAGCGGATATGTATCAGAATGGAATGATGGCCCAGGATTTTGACAAAGAACACGAACTTGCTATGCTAAATGCTCAGTCTCCTCCAGAATATCCCGGTAAGAACAATCACTAGTTTATATATTAAATACATTCATCATTACTGTTTAATCTAAGAATTTAACAGGCTTCATTTTATTGGCTATTTCATAAATTTTAGATTGCAGGTAAAAAAACAATAATTAAACCTAGCACTACCGTTGGTTTTCTATTTACATGACAATAATAATTTAATTACATTTAAAACGCTATGGCGTTACATAATAATTTGATAAAGCATTGATGTATTTTATAAAACAGGGAACGAACAAAGTCAATGGGCTCAGAACGATCGTGATCAGAAATATCAAGAAGAAATGATTCGAAAGTATCAAAAAGGACGTGATGGCTTCAACTTCCCTCAACTTGAAATAGTGAAGACGCGTACTAAGAAAGCTCGATTTACTCGTCATTTCCACCTGTATTTACTCAGTGTTTTTGCACGACTTGTTTTAGAGGTTGGATTTTTGGTTGGACAAATTATGCTGTATGGTTTCACTGTCCCTGCTCTTTACAAATGTGAACAGTGGCCATGTCCAAACATGGTGGATTGCTTCATTTCTAGACCAATGGAGAAAACCATATTTCTATATTTTATGCTAATTTATACTTGTATTTGCGTTTTACTGAACGCGTGTGAATTTAAGTATCTTGTATGGGTTTACATATTCGGTCGTCCAAAATTAATGGCAAAGATAAATAGCTTTGATTGTCGCAACGAAGAACATATTATCTACGATGCAAATGGAGAACCGAAGTACAGCACCCGGTTTTTAGAACAGGATTCTGAGTTTGATGAATGCGATTTCGCAGAAATTGGAGATGAGGAATTTGAAACATTAATGCAAAATGGATATGGAACACAAAACGGATTCAAAGAAAATGGTTTTGCAAGAAAGCAGGCGTATACCAGAACTGGTAAATTGAACAGCAAACTGAGAGCCAGGCAAGAAAAAATGGCGGAAATGCGTCATCACGAACTTGACTTGATTCTGAACGCCGAAGAAATGCAAGATGATTATGATTATGATATGGGTCAGACTGATCCCGTAGAAGACATGGCTCAAATGGAAATGGCAGCGGCGGCTGTTGGTGGAGGTGGAAGTGGAGATGATTTTAATTGCTGATTGGAAATAATGCAGATTAATTCAAAAGAGACAGAGATGGTGTTAGCCAGACTAAGTTGTGTGATTTGTTGCAATCTGCCGCAAAGAATACTGCCACAAGTAATAAACTTAGCAATGCTAGTTTTCTATTACTTCATTTTTAATGGTATTCTATCATTCCTTGATCAACCTTCTTATGTTGAACATATATTTGGCTCTTCCAAGTGCAAGTATATATATAGTCAAACCATATGGAAGTATTTATGAATCTTCGCTTGGACGAATAACCAAAATTGTTGGCATTCAGCAGAAAAATTAATAATACCGTTAACGAGCTATTTTTTCCTTCTTCTCCTTTTTGCAAATGATGAAATTAGTAGTGATACTTACTGCCTGTAGTTCCAAGAATACTGTGTATGAAACTGCATTTTATTTTATAATGAAGCGACGGTTTCAGTTCTCTTGAAGATGGAGATAAATATTATTCGCAATACGAAGTTCCCAGTTTTCATAAAATGACGTGAACCATCTTTAATAAAATTTAATATTCGTATTTTTTATATCTTTTTACATTGTACTAAATCCTGCTAAATACTGCTTTTAAGTTTTTGCCTGGTAATATGTATTTGTATTATGTCGATGTTTTGAAATTCAAAATAAGGGAAATCATTTATTGGACTAACTTCAGCGTGTACGATATCATACAACAGTTGGTTTTGTACCACTTTCTTTCGTTTATAGAATTATAGTAATATAAACTCGGTTGTGCCCATATGGCTCGACACCATATGCTCTGACGAAATATCTGCAAAAATTCTAGTTCTAGTATTTAAATATGAAATTTCAGGTAAGTATTTATTAGGAAGAAAAATTTATAACAAAATGATAGTACTTTTATTATTAGTAACTTTAACAATAAATGAGTTTTAAAAACTTTCCATTTATTAGTAATATTTAAATAGCATCGTATCAAAATTTGATTTTTTTTTCAATTACTATTTAAAGCACGATCAAAAATAATGTTCTAGTGATGATTTTTACGCAAAGACGATTTTTCTTTGAAATAAAATATTCACATATATATCTATGCTGTAGTTGTTGTTTTGTACTATTATACTTCAATGTAATAAGATAATCCGCTGCTTAAAAAAATATCGGCAATGCTTTCGAAAATAACGTGCCTGCGGCTCAGTTGTGTCGACTGGAAGGCAGGAGTTCAGACATGTTTTCTTATAGTTTAAAGTTTATGGTGTTTGATAGACCTGATTGATTTAATGTAGAATATAATGCGTGTTATACTTCTGTTCGCACTGCTGGCTATACTTGTTGATTCTTCTTATTCGCGTTCTCAAGGTAAGAATTTTAAATTTATTCTAGTAAACAATAAAGTATCTGTTTAAAAAAAATTTGCATGGAAATGATGCAACTTGCCTTGCCGTTGTTCAACCTGACTACAATATCACAAATAAAATAAATGCAACAACAAGCAATCGCAAACATTGCAGTAAAGATGCAGCGTTTGCTGGTACTACGCGACGATGCCAAAAGAATTGCTTCATCTACATCATTTCGCTCATCAAAATTGGACTGTGTAATATTTTTGGCGCCCTAAAGCCCAGGATGTATGGGAAGTTAGTGATAAATTCAAGCAATGTTTTTAATATTTGGGTTGCTTAGAGTTATTGTTGATTAACAATATGGACTATCATAGAATATAAATATATGGATTATTTTCCAATCGTATCAGGTTTTTAGTTTTGTTTCGTTTTTACCTCTTTCTAAATTTTTAACAAATAACGGTGCTCCTGAAGTTTGCGCACCAAGATGTCGCATAACCTGAACCCTAACCTGGTACACAACCTGGGTTCAGGCTGTGCGCCATCTTGGTGCGCATACTTCAGATGGTCCTTGATAACTACTTAAAGAGTCAATGTAACGTTTTCGCGAATAAGGTTGTTACTGAGAGATAGTCCTGCTGTTCGTTTAAACAAACAAATACTAGCGACACATAGCGTATACGTGACAAGAACTGACTATACATTTGGAACGATGTTACGACAAAATGTGACAAAATATATGATAAATTGGATGTCGTTGTAAGACAAAATTAGAAATCCATGGCAACATACCAAGGCGCGTCAGTGTCAACAAAGTTGTTTATATTTGAGTTTATTGCCAAGTGGACAAATGACTGATACCTGGAACAAAATCATCTTTACTTGTTAGGAACAACAAATACTACTTTCTTACTTGATTGTTTTCCTGAAGTTCCAGTTCGTTTCGTATTACATAAGTAGACTCATAAATTCATGCTAAATTAAGTGTTTTGAAGAATGTCTCATATTTGGAAATTCCTATCAATATTTATTAGCTTTTAATTTATTTATTTATTTAATTTTTCAAATAATTTGATCTATAGAATAACTTATTTCTATATTATTTTATAAAAAAGTTGTTCATGGTATTGAAAATGAAATATCGACTTGAAATGTCGTAATTCGATAGCGAATGGTAATAATCCAAGAAAGAGAAATAAACAAAGTTGGTAATATCATATTCGATTTCAATGTGAGAACTTAGTTTTTAATTTTCGTAACAGAGATAATCGCTTGCCAAGGTGACGAACTGGAAATTGCATGTGAAAACAACAACACAGTAATTTATATTGAAGACGCATTTTATGGAAGAAAGAATATGAGCGTGTGAGAATAATATATTTGCAAACTACTAATATATCTAGTCTGAAATAACATTGTAGATTGGTTCCCAGACTGACCTCAAAAAGTTATTTATCAGAAACCCCGAGTCAAGCATGAAAATGAAACAAACAACTTTATTTATGGATATAATTGTTTTTATAGATCATGGATGCTATTATTATTCCAATTTAATATCAAACATCCTTTCATTATCATAATTTGATAGCATTTGGGTTTTTGAGATACCAACTAATTCTTCTTTTTCTATGTTTTTGCTCTAGTGTATTCGTATAAGAATGATGTATAAATGGTGGCGATAACTATTCAGTTTCAATAGCCTTGACGCACAATAACAGAAACATATCCCTGGAATTTTTTGTTTGGCGAAGGTCATTATCATACCTCGGTATTTATGTTCAGAAATCATTCAGAACAATATTTTTGTTATAGATGTGCAGATCCAAATAGTGAATTGAATCAAGTACATTGCATTGCATCGAAATCGTTGCCTCGGGTGTTTTCAAAATGCCATATGAAAAAATCTTGCACCATCGAAGCAACGAATGAAATGTTCGAAGTTGATCCGTGTCCTAGACTTCGAAATTATCTACAAATTCAGTATCGATGTGCCGAAAGAGGTAAAAAAAATTTACGTTGACTATCGTATGTATTGAATTGGTGTCGAAACAATATTTTGCGAGATCAGTAACTCGCTATGAATTCATATATTCAGTCAAAGATTCTACCGTAGGATTATATCCTCTTTTTATTGTATATATATATATATATATCCTAATTAACTCATACAATATCACTGAATACAATTTACATGTTAGTACAATTTAATCGCACTAGGCGTAAACTTCTCAATAGAACACATGGTCGACACTGGAAATCATTTTGTTTCAATGTAAAATAAAGTTATAATATTCAACTTCAGAAAAAGACAACATCGTAAGGGCGTTTGTACAAAGGATGGTTTGTACAAACGATATCCGACAACTCCCGTCATTCAAAAAATTGATTCAAGTAGGCGCAGTCGCAGAAAATAGAAAAGTCCCTCGAGAGAACGAATTTTCCAGGACAATCAATGTCAGCCAAAAACTAATTAGCGGTGAAGTTTCAAAATGCACTTGACATTACGACTCGAATGACCTTTTTATTTTTTTGATGCAGACATAATTATTTTTGTCATACCTGTATGCAATTTAAAAACCGTAACAAAAATGTTCCTTTGGTCGGCTGTAATACACACTCACTAAAGAAACTTTTGAAATTTATAATTTCCGTGGCAATTTGTCCTGTGTGGAACGTATATTTCTAGCTAAATGCAAAATTCTTTTATCTGAATTTCAATCATAAATGTCAAATATAAAATAAACTCAATTATCCCAAAATTATTGATCGTTTTTACAGTATTTTCTTCATCATCATGAACTGAAATTAAACCGTTGCCAGTTTCTGTGCCGAATTTTACACTGCTCTAATCGATTATAGCAAAATTCCCTCTTACATGGGGTGAACCCAAATGCGATGACGTATTCCTTTAAGTTGTCACTTACTTTTGTTGAGTCATAAATATTACTCACAATGCTGTTTAGATTAATTAACATGTTGCCATATTGATTTTTTGAAAAATAAATAATAAAATGATTTTAAATTTTTTTATCCATTATTGGACATAAACCGGACTAATGGATCGTTTCGTTAAATAGTTCATGTTGTTGCTGGGGTGAAATTTATTTTTTTCTATCTATTCTAAAAATCTATATATACTCTCCTTTGCTTAGGTTGACTTTCTCTGTATTATTTTATATGTAATATATAATTTGTTACGTTAGACTATTGGTATCGCAGTGTCCATGAAACCGCCACAAGGTGGGCTATTTTTGATGACGTCAAGACACAGAAAAAACGAATCCCGTAGGCGTAGGGCATAGAGCCCACAGAATTTTTTAAAATAAATAAAAGCAATATCCTTCTAGTGAAAAATACAATTTTTACCCACTGAAATTTGAAAGCATTTGTTCCAGTAACTAAAGAGAATTTTTCATAACAATAAGAATAAAAATACCAACAAGACCAACAACATAATAACAAAACGATTATTAGGCACATTTCGTGCTAATAAATTATTTTCTGTTGAAATCTTGAAATAATTCCTATATTCAAAATAGGTACTAATATATTACTATATAGTATAGTACTATATAAATGCAGTTAGAGTAAATTGGTTAAATTCTTTTTATATAACAGTTAGTTTTCATAATTAACTTTTGAGATGTGTTTCGAGGTAATATAAAACATTGCTCTCTTGTAATTTGATTTGTCATATTCAGGCACAGATATATTAGGAGAATGTCCTTTCGAGTTTTGGTACAGATGGATGAATGGTGATTCGCCATCAGGAACAGGAGACTACGAAACGTTTTATCGCCACAAACATGAGCTTCCGAAATGGTGCGAAAGTCCAGATGCTGTACAAATCCAGCTAGCTGACGGAAGTCCGATTCATACTCGCAATGATGTTATAAAGACTGGTGCCCAATATGGTATATCATGCTCTAATGTGCACCAGGATGGATCAACATGTGGGGATTACAAAGCACGATTCTGTTGTTCTTCCGGCAAGTGGGCTCATTGTTCATTATATACTAATTTCTACCTTGACCTCTCTTGGACTTTCGCTCACGAACTGAACTGTGAAGTGTGATTCTCAGAAAATGGTTAAATTATGGAGATGTAGGGAATTTCATCGCCATTTGTGAGTTATATATTTCTGCTGTTACAATGTGTACACCGTATGTTGGAATAAATGGACGACAGGTAATAAGTTTAAAAATGATGCTGAACTATTGATCGTTTATAATGTCGTTACGAGCCCAAACTCGCATGTCTAATGTCCAATCAACAACAGAACATAATATGATTACTACTTCAGAAAATTTGGATTACTATCAAAGGTATTTAGAATGATTGATATAATGTCTCTTTTTTAGATTGTGCGATAGAGATTGCTGAAGGTAATGAAGGAACAATTTCATCACCGAATTATCCCGATAAATATGAGCCAAATACCGATTGCTCTTGGATGTTCAAAACTTCATATGATCGTTATTTCTTATTTACAATCACAAATCTCCAACTTGAATACAGGAATAAATGTGTGTTCGACCACTTAAGTGTAAGTATAATATTTGATTTGATTTTGAAATTTTAGATTTTGTGTATTAATGAGTGTATATGTGCAATTTTATAGCCGAGTACATGTAGATTCACTTACTGGGAGCCGAGAGTCATTGATTAGGCAATATCATGAAAGGCATGAAACGCTCGTAATTCTCACATTTGCCTGATAGTGATAATACATAAGTCTAGTTGCGCAACTTCTCTCTTATGGTCAAGACGTCGACAGAATCTGAATTAGTACAGTTTGTGGGCGTATCGTCGTAGCGAATAAATAAAGGGCTTTCAACCTACCGCGAAATATTTGACAGTTTCCAATTCCAATTTCGCAGTCAAACTTATATTTTGGGTGAGTTACTAATTTGAAAATAAATATTTAACCGTCCTGCGTATTTAGGGTGCACGTTCAATATTGTAATGGATAATATTCTTTGAAATGATTTTGAAGCCTTTTAATCTGATTGAGAAGTAAAATTCATTTTTTCTTTCTCAAGATCACAGACCTACTTACGAGAAAAGAAGTTTTTCATGATTGCAAACTAACGGGTAATTCGTCTGTAATAGAAGTATCCGGTAATCGTGCTCAGATTCGATTTATAACCGACAGGGACAATGAAGGACAAGGATTCCAGATAAACTGGAAAACAGTAAAAGGTGAATCATATGTTAAAAGTGTAGAAAAATATTCATGAAACATAACTGAATACACATAGACAAAATACAAAGTAATGAATTTGAGTCTTTATTATTTTCTCCGTACTTATAGTTCCAGTATGCACTCCGCCTTCTGCACCCCTTTCGGGAGGTTTCGATCCTATTGAACAAGCTTTATGGAGAGTAGGAACAGTGGTGGTATATCGGTGTGACGAATATTTTCTCATGGAAGGACAAGCAATTGTTCAATGTAAAGCGAACCGTAAATGGTCTCATCCACGCCCATTGTGCAAAGGTGACTTTTTTATTCATTGATATCCGTATTATATGTTCTGTTTAATAAATTTGCTATACATTTTGCATTAAAGAAGATATCTAGTTAATTTTGCGTTACTGTAAATTTAACGATAATGTATCTATGAAACATTTATGCAGCTGAGTGTGCACCAGTTCCCAACGACTATTTTCAAAGGATGCCAGATTTTTGTACGAAGGCTGACGGATCACCGAAGTTTGTTAACGTTGGAAAATGTTCCAAGAACAAATGTAAAAGCAAAAAGAAAATAGGTTTGGACAAAGCGAATTGCTGCGAAGCCGTCGAAACTGAAACTACAAATGTTGACTGTGGATGTAAGTATTGAATACACATTAGATTATTTTGAAGAAAATATATATTTGTGATATCGTTGCACATTGAAAACATTTAATCAACGATATCGCGCATCATATTTCAATCGAGCTTATAAACAAAGAAATTTCAAAATTTTTCAAACATGAATTCTAAAAGTTAAGAATGAACAACATCACGTTATCCGAAATCCAAAATACCAATTCATCATTTCATTTCATAGCTTTTCTTTTCAGCATTTTACGTTCCTATCACAAAGACCATCCGATGCGAATGCGGTGAATGTGTTGAAGATGAATTGATAATTAGTGGAATGTAAGCTAATTAAGTAAACTATGCAAAATAGAAGTAAAATTACAAAATTTGTTAGAAGAACATTTTGTAATTTGTAACGTGCCACAGTCTTTTATCATTATCGTAATTGCCAAATATTTATTAATTTAAAAGAAACGTGTGCAGGTTATAGATATGATATCATGGTCACTGCTATAGTTCAGCTAGATATTGAAATTTGTGTTGTTATTCTGTATTAATAATAAATATGCATGATCTCAATTTCCCTGGAACAGTGTTGCTGGCGGAAACAACGAGGAGGCTGTAATAAACGGATCTGTGAAATATCTTGATGAAGTAGTTGCAACTACAGATGAGTCAGGGCAATTTCTGTTTTCATTGAAAACATCAAAAACAAAGATTTCTTTAACGTTTTTGGATTATTCAACTCGAAAATTTTTACCTAAGACTCAGGTTTGTATTCAAAACTACAAATTTTGTTGCAAGTTTGTTGTACATAAAATCATACAATTTGTTTTTTCATTTAAAATTATTACATTCAACTATTTGTTGACAAAATGCATATGATATATTCTGAATATATGATATTTTCTTTGCTTCTCGTGTTGATAAAAATGGAGAAATCTTTTGATATTCTAGCACTTGACAAATTGCCTGTTTTATTCCAATTATTACTCAATCTATCTGATTTAGAATCATTTAGAGTCATTTCAGAATTATATTTTTCTAGATTATAGAAATATCCCCTGGTCAACAAAAATTTGTCAAAGTACAAATGAAGAAAAAACCTCCAGTAGTATATTTGAAATCTAATGTAGAATCGAAAATAGATCTTAAATCTGGATCACCAGACGATTATGAAGAAAATATTCAACCGTTGGTGGGAGAAGTGGTAATTGCACCGGGTTCTATAAAAGATGGAAATGGAAATGTTTACGAAGGAGAGGTAAATAATAGCAAATAAGAACGATTTTTGTTGATTTTGCGACTTTAAAAAAATCTCAAATTATTTCGCGTCAGCTTGCGTAGTGAGATACATACGTTTTTTGAAACGAAGTAACCTATTGTTAGTGTGTCCAATCCAAATATGAACCCGTTCGCGTTAAAACTTTTGTCTATATGAAAACACTTTATAGAGATTTTCTGATGTCTAGAATATAATTTGCAATGATATTTTAATGGAAAATAAAAATTTTTTTTTTTGGTTTCATAGGTCGAAATGTACGCTCATTTAGTCGATAATGGAAATCCTGAATCTTGGAAAGAAGCACCAGGTCCCTTCATGGCGGCATCAAACGAGGACGAAGATGAATTGGAAGCTTTAGAAAATTATGGGATTTTTCAGTTTCAAATCAACAGTCCTGAACATGAACCATTAGAAGTTGAAAATGTAAGTACATGTAGTAGGATTGCCATAGCACTTGTGCAACATGATAGATAAGAGAAGTTAGAATTAAAAAAAAACCTTTGTCCTTCAAAAAAATACATATATATTACGAAACATGCTGAGCTATTTTGTATCTTGGTGTCAGATTGATCAGAATAATAAATCAACTTTGAACCTCGAGGTAATACAATTAACTTATAGGAAGACAATTAGTCTTGCCCAGATGACGTTTACATTACTGTTTTAATATAATGATTATATTTTATTTTGTATTCAGATGGAAATAAAGATAAATGTGTCACATGTTGAAAAAGAGCAACTTGATAAATTAGGAATGTATTATTTCGATAATGCAAAAGGAGTGTGGCAAGAGGACGCTCCAATGTTGGTAAGAGACCATAACATTCACTTTTAATATATTGAACCATACTCAATTTATTGGAAAGAAGTCGCGAATGAGATCGATTCTCACCCATCCACCCTGAGTAATATGTCCAACCTACAACTTATTTTTGTAGGTTACTATATCTTGCACTTCATTAAAAATTATGAGAACAGTTTTGAATATAAAATTATCTTGTGTTTCTAATCAGATTTATCACGATGAAAGTGCCAGAGATGAAAAGTCCACATTTTTGATCGGAAACATTAACGTGACGGTCGACAGAATTTGGAGTTTAAATGCAGTAGTGAATGAATATTGCTACGCCAAAGGTAACTCAGATTAATATTTAGAAACTGTATAAAACTGAAAGAATAAGGTTTTCAACCAAATACTCAGTCAATACATGTAGTATGTCTTGCTTGAATGAAAAGTAAGTACGTTACGAAATTGTAATTATGTACAATAGGAACCGAACTATCTTTGCGATGTTTAAACAAAATCTTTTCGTCTTTTTAAAATTTATGTATAAATAAATATACGTAGTTCGAACATATGCATCGTCAAATTTTGACCACCGTGATCAAATGGACGGAGTGTCAGTTCGTGCTGTATACATGGGAGATGATGGCAGATGGAAAGGATTTTCATCCGAAATGACAATGGACGGAAGTGGAGCCTGCATCATGGTACCATGTACTGGGAAATCACGCGAATTGCGCCTCATCCATGTTACTGGTAACAAAAAGAAATTTTGAATACAAATAAAGTTTCCACATGCAGATAAACAAATCTTGCAATGTAAAATGTATCTTGAGTATGCAGTAAAATACCGAAACTTATGTTTACTTCTCGGGGAATCTTACAAAAAGTACAAATTTAGATTATATTGAAGAAGAATAGTTTATATTAACAAAAAATCCTGAATTTCAAAATACAAAATTGCATTATACAGGGTGTCCCAAAATATATGAAACTCACAAAGTTGCTAACTGAATGAGTGGATTTCCTTTATTTTGGAACACCCTGTAATTTAATAAAGTAATGACCGCATTATTTTATTTTATAACTACAAAGCTACGGATAATGATGCTAAAGAATTATGGGCTGTTTCTTCCAAACCCTTCAGACCAAAAAACGCAGGATTCAGTAAATACATCAGCAACGTCCTAAAATATAGGTATACATATTGTTTTTTAATGCGTATTCAAATACGTGTTAATTGTTGTGATCACTTCTGATGTTAAGATGGGTACTCCCGAAGTATGTGAACCAAGATGGCGGACACGGGAACGTAGTATGTGTACCAGGTTAAGGTTAGGCCATAATTTCAGGTACAAACACTACGGGAGTCAATTGGCTAGTCCTCGAACTCGTAATAAAACTAAAATAAGGAAAATTGGAATAAAATAACCCTAACCTGGTACACATACTATGTTCCGGTGTCTGCCATATCGGTTCATATACTACGGGAATACCTTAAAATAATCTAGCTTTTCTTGGCATAGCAATGAATAACAAACAGTAGACTTACTTCAGGGTGCTATTCATTTGCTCATTTTCCTTTCAGACGACGTGATCACGATGATAGGAAGCTAGATAAAACATCTTTTAATATCACAATAGCAAAAAACTTTGATTCCAGGGATCGTTGGTACGGGCCAATATACGCGTCATCATCAGCCGAGAGATGCTTTCTAGCGCCACCTACTGATGACCATTTCAGGTTTTATAAACAAACGTAAGTGTTCAAATGTAATTTTTTTTTAATTGAGCACCACTATTTCATACAACGGCTGATAGAAATGATCATGAACTAATGAGACTACAAGCAATATACTGAGTATTTGTACGCACGCTGCTACTAATCAACTTACAATCTTCGGCAATTAAAGATATATAGAAGAAGTAGACAGGCGACTATTGTTTTTATTTGTCAAAGTCTAAATGTCGCAAGAGGCGTATATTTCACCATGAATTAGAACTCTATAGAATCCATTCTTTTTATATAGTTCACGCCGCACCTTTACAAGATATTTGGTACGATTGTTTCAACCTTTTATACAACATTTAGCACAATAATGAATAGTAACTTCCATTCAACCTTTGCGTCCCTATATTTGATCATTGCTCTCTTGTTTTTATCAGTGAAGGGATTCGAGGAAAGTCCGCTATAACTACAGAGTATAATGCGATACCTTCTGATGGTGATTCTGAAGATCCAAGATATTGGGGAGAATATGATAATTATAATCAAGTGTGCTTCATCAAGGTATATTATATAGATAACAATATATCAAAATATTTGTAATGACATGTTTATTTAGTTAATTCAATCAACAGTCCGTTTAGCGTTCTATCACTTTACATCAATAATATATTATTTTTCATACCTTAATTTCATCTTGTGTGATCATAACTGATGTGGACTTATCTATGGATGACTATATGTATGCTATATAATTGCAAGCAATGATTATGGCACTTTTTGTTAACTTTATGCGGTAAATTGAAAAGAAAAATGATCAAATCCCGGACACACAGTTTAATTGATCACAGAAATGTCAGGAAAATTTTAGCCAAGTGATAAAAGATGTCATATAAAGGTGTTCCTGTGAGATGAAAAAAAATGGAAAAAATTTGAAATGATGTCTTGGGCCACATTGGAGCGTTTTTAGCGTCTTGTTTCATCTTCAAGTGAATTTCAAATTTGAATCGATTGGTTCATTAGTTACGGAGAAAACTGATTTTTCATAACCCCAAGAAAACCAACTACAATTTACCAAAACGATCTTTTTTTTATCCAACTCTCTCTTATCCAACGTGCCAAGTACGGTTCATCGTGGTCGAGACATTAGCAACTCAAATTGTGTCATGCTGCTTTGCATACATCAAAATATAGTTTTACTATCATGATTTTAATGACGATCTTTAGTATCAGTCGCTAAAACGAAAACTTGCTTTCTATATAAGGTAGCCACCCGTGGTTCGCGGAGAATACTAATGCGAGCAACAAGCAGTGGAGGTATACATCCTAACGTAACCGGGCAGTTATACGGCTTTCGTCAAAAATTTGTAAGTGGTGGGGAGGATATGTCATCAGCATGTATTGAATTTAAATGTCCGTAAGTATCCATACGTTTTTCGAAAAAAGGTTTCAATCTTGAACAATATTATTATGACATCCGGCGTTTTACTTTTAGAGGAAGCCGTCATGAATTCACGTTTATGACTTTTCCGTGACTACCTCGTGAATTAGCAGACATCCGCTACGCAAAAGGTTATTTTGATGCTTCGTTACAAACAAATTGCTCTGTTTGGTTTGATTTTATCAGTAATTCTGTATTTTTCACGATGATTACAACACGTTTTGATCACACACCGTAATCACATAATTTATTGCCCGGTACTTTCGTTACGTTTTCCTTTTATCGTTTTATGACATCATATCTCACGGAGGACTCATGCCCGTTACGTCACCACATCTTTTCCGCTACGCAATCGAACGTTGCCCATACGAGACGAAACATTCATTTGAAAACATGTATTGTAATCCCATTAACAAATCTTTTATTGTTTAGGAGATATTTTCAAGACGGAATTTTGGAACAACCGCTGATTTCACTTAACAGTCCCGATGGAAATTGCCAGCTTGAAGATGTTAACCCTCTACTTCAATATTACATTACATTTATGAATCCAGATTTTGAACATTCCCAAATAGGAGATGTCAGTTTTAAAATGATGTCTCCCACTAGTTCATTGGGATCTGACTTTGGAATTTATGTTTCGAAAATGGCAAGTATAGACGACGCAAAATCGAAGGCGCTGAACCAGTGCAGTGAAGGATCAACTTTCCAACCGCATACAAAACCATTCAAACATGATGCAGGAATAGCAATAACTTTTAATTGTTAGTTACAGTCCACGTTTATATGAGATTCGCTTACAATAGTATTTTAGAAAAAATATTTTATCTTTTCTTCTATAAAGCCAGCTCAATTAGGCAAAAAAGTTTATAAAACTCCGAGTGCAAAGATAGTATGCGACAAGTCAATAGATCGTGGATAGCGGGCAGGAGTACTTGGCAATAGCAGGAAAACCAGTGTAGAAAAAACTCGATTGCAATAAAAAAGAGTCGTTCTAGTAAGTGTCACACCGTCGCTGTGGTATCATTTCCACTACATCACAATAATGCTGCTTTTACTAATATCTAGCACGTCATAATCCTTGCATATTTGATGTTTCATTTAAGAATTGAATGTGTAATTGGCTTCTCAGTCAAGATCTTTTCGCTGCTGGAACGATGTAATAAGAATCAGTTTCTGGTATAATATACTCATGCCCAGATGTTATTGTAGTTCTTGAAATCGGTACTTCGTATTTATTAGTCATCGGAACTTCGTAACCGTCGTTCCGTTGTCGTATTGGAATTTCGTATCCGTTCTGACGTTGAATGGGAATTTCATACTGATGAGTGGTTTCATATGGAGATTCTATTACATCATTTGCTGTCCCTTCAATAGTGTAGTATTTGTGATAGGGATCGTCTAAATCGTCTTTCGTGTTTTCGTTCAAAACGAATCCAACATTTGATTCGGCAACTATATCGTGCGCTGATTTTGGGTTTTGTTTTGGTTGAGTACCAGCGTACTTTCTATATCTAAAAAACATTAGATTTAAGATCAGACCAAGTATAAAACAAGTTGAAGCAGCAGTCGCTAACACGCCAATTACCATGTTAGAATAAACTATAAAATCAAATAGAATAACAACCTTCAAAGTATTCTTATCCTAAGTAATAATAATAACGCAGCAATCATTTATGAAACATAAAATTCACAAATAAACGGAAAAGAGAGATGGATCGTTTTGCTATATTCTTGTTGTTGTTCATTTTGTAAAAATCTCGCTTTTTTATCAACGAATGGATCAATCAATTTCAAATTCGGAGTTCGAACAAGCTTTCGGTAGGTATCTTCCTACGAGACTTTTCCAATAATAATAAATAGTCCGGACTTTGCCAAAAACGATGTATCACGAACGCACTTCTATATATATAGCAGAACGGATATAATACCCTTTCACATCAAGAATTTTTACCCCACTTTGTCTGTTTATTATATACAGACAATATATTGGACTCTGCTGAGCTTACGAACCTCGTCTCTTATAAAAAAAAAAAGCTGCTCGCATCCATTTAGTTCAAGTTGTAACGTATTCCAGACAAAAATATTTATGACAAAAGTTTTTCAGGTAATGTTCAGTTGTTCAGCGAAATTCACTACTACACTGTTTTCCCGGTCACTGCGAATTGAACTGTATTATTCCAGGCATAAACTGGCACGTAATACATCACTTTCAATTCAATATAATTTCAGTAGCTTTTGCTATTTAGGTGGTTGCCCGTAACTTGACTGACTCAGTGCTGAGTTAAAAACGTTATTTCAAAATCCTTTACGGTTAAGAACTATGACCATCTTTCTATGTGATTTCAAGTCATACCTAACAAATCCAATAACGATGGCGCACAAAATGATGAATGCTCCTAAACTCAGTCCAATAATATAATAATTGCTGGATGTTGGAACCATTTCACCTGTTTAAGAGAAGCCATGCATTATATTTCAGTTATATATTTATGGAATATTGAAGAAGTTCAATAGCAAGGTGAGATGCCTGAATCTACATTGAGAGTAAAAACTTGACAACTGCCAATATCTTATCTTGGCATCTCATACACGGCACTTAAAATTAGAAGAAAAAACGATTCTAAATTTAAATCTTGATTTAATTGAAATTGAGTTTGGATAATGCAAGTTATATTTAAAAACGATAATTATTTACTCAATTTCATTCTGTGAATATAATTTTTATGTCGTGAGTCGTGGGTATTTAATGAATAAATTACAGTGACAAAGGTTTATTTCCGACTCAAAGCGCTGGAAATATTTCAATTTCTCACAATACATAGTAAAATTATGCTTTTGGTATCATTCGGAGCATCTCCTTCGATAATCGAGGCCAACAACATTTTTGTATGAAGTTAATAAACTGATAATTTACTGTACAGTGGACATTGGCGCTGAAAATTCCACAATAAGATTACGACCATTTGGTCATTGAATGCAGTTTATTAAAACAAGCAGTTCTACTTCAATAAATTCTTTATTCACTCTCTTTGTAGAAAAAAATAATTAAGAGAAAATAATTAACTTTTTGACCTTTGGAAATAAAACAATGAATTTAGTCTTACTTGATATCGATGTAGATGGCAATTTACGACTTTCTGAAATCTCTGAAACAATTTTCCGCCTCCAGTGTATGGGCATACTGGTAATTAACAAACTAGAATCTGTACTTTGGGTAGACTCAACTCTTTCAGTTTCAGTAATTGAGGATGAGGATTTAGTGGTTGTAGATGTAGTGATTCCAGCAGCTGCTGTATATCGACAAACAGAATAGGCATAATGGAATGGTAGTTTTGGAAAATCAAAAATAGCAAATATAATCAAATCCCTGTAAGTACGGTACACAAGGAGAATGCAATGCATATGTGACTTAGAGAGCATAAGAAACTTCCGGTTCATACCCGTTTTCGAGGCGCTCCCGAAGTATGTGCACAAAGATAGCGCACGACCTGAACCCTAACCTGGTACACATACTATGTTCAGGTTGTTCGTCATCTTGATGCACATACTTCTGGTAGTCCGTTTTCAAACATATACTAAAGGCCATGATTATCTTAATACACTCCCTGCAATCTTTTAGTAAAATAATATGAGAATTTTAGCCAACAAATGCAGAACAGACGTTACTTCACATTTGTTTTGAGTCAAAACGTATGCTAAAAACAACGAAGTGGTTGGCAAAAGTTCTTCAACGCATTTTGTGAAATTGTCATCATCATTATACTAAATGATTTTGTGCTTGCAAAATATGATAATACCTACATTATATGACTAAAATTTTATTTTAGGTCTTGATCAAGTTTGTACAAATGTAATATATTTGAAAACACTGGTGATCATCACACGTGGCAATTATATCATATTCAATTTTTATCGCGTGATGACAGCTGAGGTATTCAGCTATATACACGTTATGAAATCTATGATTAATCACCACATTCGTCGTTCTAAACTTTTTCAATAAAGAAAATTATCACACTGAACAAAATTAAAGTATAAGTGTGACAATTACATCAATAAATTCAATGCGACCACTCACTTTCGACACTGCAGTATATATACTGCATTGCCAAGTTAACGGTCTCGTTCGAAGATGATTTTGAAAGCACCGTAACTTTCTTAGGTAAGTAGTCCCTGGATACTTGCATTTTTCCATCGACACAAGATTCTGACAGCAAGTGTTTATGTGTAATTTCATCAGTGCATTGCGCGTTGTTTGTTTTATATATTGAACAATCTTTCCGTTGATTTGATTTTGAATAGCAGCCATACTTACCTAAGTATAATGAGACAAAGGATCATTTTATAGGATACAATCCCCTACAGTTTTGGGTGCTCCCGAAGTATTCGTACCAAGATGGCGCACAGCCTAACCATAGTGTGTGTAACAGGTTAGGGTTGTTCAGGTTGTGCGTCATCTTGGTACGAATACCTCCGGAGCGCCCAGTTTTGTAATTATATTTTGTTCACTTTAAATTTCTCGTAATGAGAACTGTCAATCTACAAACCAGTAGCGTCAATATCTGTGAGAATTCTTCTTTTCACATTGGTCCACTTTTAATTCTAGTACCCACCACTTTTGTGGGTGCCTATTTCCACATATACAAACACACACATAACGCATAGTTATTACATTTTTGAAGGGAAAAAGTGTCACACATGTTACAAATTCGTCTATATATATATATATGTACCTTCTACTCCGATAGCTACGCCATCGGAACAATTTTCGGCGTCAGAATATGGTGTAACACCATATAATATAATGACAACTTTGTTCTGGTCAGAGATAAAAGGAAGATCAATATTTGCTAAAACCCAAGGAGAAACACTTCCTGTTATATTGACGAAGGTTACGCGCACTAAAGAAATTGAGGACGAAGACTCAGATAATAGTGAAGTTTGTCTTTTTTCGGCATAAATATTTGTTTTCAACTGTGTTCTTCCGACGCTAAAATCTATAAAACATGAACAATATAATTATTTCTGAATATTTCGTATAAGTAATGCTATGTTTTGTTCCTACAGCATTTACAGTTTATAAAAGTCAATTCAAACCCGAAAAATCACTCAATTTGTCGAAATATTGTTTTCCATCATTATCTAGATCAGTGATTTACATGATTCTAATCCCTATCGCCCCTCCAGAGACGGCGAAAAATTAAACAAAACAGCTCACTTTAAATTATTGTAGTCATCGCGAATTGTAACTAGTAAATTTCTTTGCGAATGACCTGAAAGACCCACTGTGTGACACCTTAGAGCCCAATGAGAAACCCTGATCTACATCGTGGCTCGTTACGAAATTTTGCTGGTTTTTAATTCCGAATCAGATTTTTTTTAATATATACGGAAAACAACTCTCAACGAGCTAATATTAGTCCTAATATTACCTTTGGCTTGTTATAGGCAAAATGTCGTTATTTTTAAATAGTTTCTTGCAATTGACATTTAATAAATAAATAAAATATAACTCACTATTATTCAGCACAAAAACAATGAATAAGGTAAAACCACTGTTTGCAACACGCATGTTCATTTGAAGCAATCTGGGTATTAGACACTACACAAGCTTTGGCAACCCTCCGTGTCCTGTTGAATTCGTCTCTTCTTCACCTTTTACGCGTATGAAAACCGTTTCCGCAGAACCAATTATTTAAAGGCCCAAGATTGTGCGCGCAAATTTCGGTGAATACTTCGGTTTATTCTAACCAATATTACTGTTTATTTATTAAATTCATTTCAATTTTTACAGAAATCCTAATTCATACAATCTTACTTCACCGCAACGTCGATACCTTTATGATGAATAAACTTTTCTAATCCGTAGAAAACAAAATAAAAAATGACTCGAAAAATACGTGTGAATCATGGTATAGCCCATTGCGATTGCGAATGGTTTTTATCTATATGGAAATGCGTAATCTGATGATATAATCATGACGCCTTGAAAGGCAAAATATAACCGAGCGCGAAATTTCTGAAATGTCTCGTAACCAAAATGCATAGAAGATGCGTTCATCACCATACAGATATATGCTATTCAGAGTATCATCATGTTTTCAAAAAATAAATGAAAATATATTGATGACTGTGCAGCAGGCTGTAACGATGATGATAAAGATGATTAGTCATTCCACTTAGAACTTGATTAGCCCAGAGCTAAATGCTCCACAAGAATCCACCCAACAAGAACGACGCAATTTAGGAAAACAATACAGTTTCATTTCTTATCCAAGACACATCACGCCAATGTTTTATTGGACCAAGCTTCTACAAAGTCACTAAATTTAAACATTGCAGTCTTTATTTCTTGTGCAAATTCAAATCTTCGAAAAAAAGGCCCTAAAAATCAAACCTGGTTTCAAATAGCAGCCCAATAAGCAGGCTTGTCCATGGGACATATTTTTTGTCCCATTCCCATCCCATAGCAGTTATGCCTGTCCATTCCATGGGATTCCCAGTGGAATAAAATTCATATCATAAATAGAACTACATGTACAAAGAAATCTGCAAAACAACAAAATTTACGGACTTTGTTAACTTTGTATCCATAACTATTATACATGTGTCCATCAGCCCTTAAATCTTAGACGAGTATCAACTTGGTAATAATGATATCAAATATCCTAATGATAAACGCAAATCAGGTTTATTTCCGGTTCAATGTATGATGTGATGTAGAATTAAGAACGGGAAATAGGATTTCAAAGTTCACTTCAAACCATTGCGAATAAGGCGACCGATTCATTAAATTGAGATTATAGCTGTTATAGATTATATGGTGTGTTGCTATACGGAAGGATATAGAAATAAAAATTCTGAAAGTAGGTTCAGCGAACATGTATAAAGAACGAGCGAAAGACTATTGAAGTTTAAACGTCTTGCTCCTAGGTATTGGTATTATCCTAAGTCGCGGTTTTATGAAAATCCGCAACAGACACCCTATAACTAAAATGAATTTCACGTAGAAATACTTGTAAGTAATTTTGGTAAGAACTATAGTTAATTTTTGTTTTTGAAAATCTAAGACGTTTACCAATAAAACAATGATAATTCAGAAAATATTTTAAACATTGGGTAACAATAAATTGAAATATTTAATAATTTGACTGATATATTGAAATTTAATTTTCAAGAAAATACTTTCGAAACCTTAGCAGAGTTAATTTTTATCTACAAATCTATTTTAATCTCATGTAATTTTACAGATGAGAGGTGTTTGGTATGAAATATTGAATTCTGGAACTCCGTTTGATAAACTGTTGTCATGTTTCGAAGTTGTTGACATTCAGAATATCACTGGAGGAATGAGGCAAACATTTTACGACGAAAACAAGTACGTTTGATAAAAAAAAATCAATCTTTTGCAAAGATATATCTAGCTTTAACTGCAAATAAAGTAGTGTTAAATTACATAAAAGTTGAAAAATCCTTAGGTGGAGATCTATTACCGATGTTGATTTGAAAGCTCAGATCAATTGAAACAGATTGTTATTTGTAAAATTAGAACAAAATTCTTCTTCTAGATCTATTCTAGATGATACGTGAACATCCTAGGTCTGACATTAACCTATTACCCCACTGGGCTTACCTCGACCTTCGATACAAATAAAATAAGCTAGAATTTCAGTTTGTGGAATTGTGAATATGAAATACTACATAATTTAAACATGATTACAAATTGCTAACCACCTGGTCATGTTTTGACATGGCCGAGGAAAGATAAATTTTCTGATTTACATGAAAACTGAAACGTTTATCAATGAATGATCTATTTTGTTATTCGCTATCTAGAACATAACGTAAACAAGCTAGTTGGGGTAAATTTGGCATTTCGAAATAAGAACACTGGTGTGCATTTAGACATAACAGATAATCATACTTTGTATATGACAATAGTCATATCAGAATTACAAAATTGTTGGCAAATAAAGTCTGTGATTTGAATTGATAATTCATAATGTACTAACGAGAATATCGGTCAGAGACCGAAGACTTATCGATCGAAAGTTAGGGGATCCCCAAAACAGCGCTCTTACTCCATAGTGACACCTTGTGTCCCATCACTATTTAATCAATGACTCGCTAACTATTCGACATAATTCATCCAAAATCGATAAGCTTCTGATCCGAGATATGATGAATGCATATGCAAAATTTGGAGCGGATTCATCCTCGCTTTCGTGAGATATCGCGTGTATCTAACAGACAAACAAACAAACTAACAAACAGACAAATACATATCAACATACTTACCGATCTTAAGATCGATAAGTAACGATCTTATGATCGATAAGTAATAATATTTGATATTGTTTGATCATTGTTTCAGAAACATAAGTGTTTGCGTTGATGTCAAGAGATTGGAATCGGGCCACTACAAATACGAGACTGATCATGGTAATGTACTATATTATTCAGTCCATGGCCCTCTCCCAGAGACTTTTAACACTTATTGCCTTCTGCCTTGGAATAAAGATATCCAGGCTTTGCTTTGAGTGTCAGTTATTTTGTTAATCATGTTCAATAATGAACTGAAAGAATTAATCATCGCGAATGGTAACTAAACCTCTGCTCGTGGCCTCCCACGGCACCGGTCCAAGCGTCGCAATTGAGAAACCCTGTTAGCTATTCTCATTGTAAATAATGTATTTTTATTGTATTTTTAACATACTGATATATTTTGCTCCAATTTAGTTCCATCGTGAATCGCATTTTTAATGAATGAAGTATCTCCAGAAAAGCCTGTCGACCCTAAATTGCTTCAAGGTACATTGCACTGACTTTAATATAAGACTCATCCTACAATGATTCCATTTCCTAAATCCTGTATTTTCTTATTTTGAAAAAGGGAACAAAAATACCTACGTTTTCTCGAATGACCATTTTCTTGGCACTTTCAACCAAACGAATATATTTCTTAAAAAAAAACTATTTTGGATTTGTCACAAAAAATAGGATTCATATAGAAAATCATTCTTTTCAAATTTTCTATTCTTTCATTTAGAACTTACAGACATGTTCGAAGATGAAACGGTTTACCGAACTGATTATGAAACCTATGGAATAAATACCAGGTGTACTAAAGATGGTAATAAAACTTGAAATATATCGAGAAACCAATAAACACAAATTTTTTATCGCAAATAATGACATATGTTATACACAATTTGTACAGGTTTTTATAAAACTTTGCTAAATGTACACCACACATAATATAAATAACCAGTAAATCTTAACATAGAAAATCTGGTTTGTATTTCCTCATTTTGAAAATTTTCCGGAATGTTTTATAATTATCATGTAGCAATAGACCTTATTCATTAAAAACCCATCCTACGCGCAAAAAAAAAGTGATGTGTAAAAATATTTTTTAACATTACCTCTCATGGGGAATGTGATCACCAGAGCAGAAAGTTGCTTTTCATGTAATTTTTTAGATATCTTTCATTGTATACGTGAGCAGTTTTGAGGATAGAATATTTTTTACATCTTTTTTGATATTTTTATTATGATAAACATGGTCAAGACTTTTAATAATCGTTCATTGAAATTTTAATGAGCGCGGTGTTTCCGATGACGTCATTCTCACTAGACCATAAGATTCTGCCAACGCGTCGTGCTCTGTGGGATATGTCTATGTGCTCCAACTGCTTGTGATAACAGAATACTGGAATACCGGGACCACAACTGGCGTTCAACGAAAGACCTATTTTGGTTTTAATTGGATGTTATATATTTCATGAATTCCATGTACATTTCTGGTACACCTTTCAAAATCCAATGGCCTAACTCAGTTCATATGTTGACGGTACCTACTATGTACGATACCTATCCCAAAATTAGTGATGTTCAGGGCTGGATTTAGACCATGAGAGGCCCCTTCATTTTTTTAAGCTCAGAATTTCTCTCTAAACAACACCACATTTAATTGCTTAAAATTTAAAAATATGAAAGCAATAAACTTTTTATTCTGCCCATTCATGGGTGTGAATTTTTAATTAAAAGAATGATAATTTACTTGAGGCAGTTTTGCTTTCAATTTCTTTGATCAAACAACCGCTACAGTCATACTTTAACATAGAAACTTCCAGCAGAATGCGCATAATAATAATTTCCCTTATTATGACGCAAACGACGCAATATTTGGATGTTTACAATGTGGTTGAAACTTGTTGTATACAGAATTTTCTACTCTGAAAAGCTTGATATATATATATACTTTTTGTAGGGTTTAAACTTGTCAAGTTTTCAAAAGAATTACAAACTTTGAAACCGAATTTCGAGGCTCTAGGTTTCAGCCTGCCTAGCCTGCCTCAGATTGAAATAAATGGTTTTTAGCATTCATTAGCAAAGATAGATATTTTAATTAAAGATATAGTTCAACTTAAAGCCTGTATAATGATATTATAAATATAGGTCCCATTATTACTGCATTGTGAGAAGGCTTTCCACACTATCAAGTCTATAAGGTTTTAGCGTCTTCCAATGTCTCAGATGGAAACTTCAGTCTTCATTTTGCATATTCTTTTCATTAATGCCATTAGCATTTGAAGCTTGACTGATTCCAATGTACCTTTTCTATTGTTGTTTAATGTAATATCCTAAACGTGACTTTTTTTCCAATTTTTTTTTCACTTCAATCATCACATGTTTGAAAACCTGAGCTGACTTCTACTGATTTGTTATTGATTTACAATTTTTTTTTATAAATTAACTGTCGTACTTGCTAAGTGTCCACTAAGTGAAAATCTACAAAAAAAGCAGTGTTTAATAATGGACTACATTTTTAACCAAATCCAAAAATATTCCGTAACTTAGTCAACCCTTCCTCCGAGGAGTTTTTGTTAAAACATCTTAATTAACTGTTAATCTTGATAGCAAACATGGGGGGCAGGGGGAGCTGTGATGGTCGTATCGCTCCCCAGTCTATACCGGATAACTGTGAGTTTTGTATATGATTTTTATTGATTCAATGCTTGTATTCTGG